ACATCCTCGCTTACAAACACTCCACTGAAGCTGCCTGCATTTGGAGGTCAGAGGTCACGAACTGCAAAATACTCCTCGCTACTGGAAAATCCAGCTAAAACCCCAGCTTCAAGCCAGTTTTATTTTAGTATCATTGAGATATTAATAATATATCTGTATAATCTGTTTTCACTGTAGTTTTAGTTAGTTTTAATAATTTTTCTCTGTTTTTATTTCAGTTTTAATTATTTTTGTGCATCAGGGTAAACTAAATTAATGTTGTCTTGGCAACTACCTGAAATAAAATAAGTTTTTTTTTTTTCTTCTTCTTTTTTTTTGTTTTGTTTACGTTTATTGTATTTCAAGTAGCGCAAATGTTTTTTGATGGGAAAAAAACAAAAAAAACAGGTTTTTGATCTGGGTTAGGTGGTTCATCAGTTGGACCTACCAGTTGGTGGGACTGACGTCATGTTTTAACCAGAGTCTAGCAAATAACCAGCTGTTATACACCAAAAACCAGCTTAACCACTTTTAAAGACCTTCGGAGGGGATCATGCAGGAGCAGACAAATATCCTTCTATTTCTCTATTTCCAGTACTCTCTGGATGAGCTTGAAGACATGGTGAAATGTTTGAGGAAGTTCCGGGCAGTTCTGACAGAAATTGAAGTGAGACTACAAGAAGAACAAGCATCCGTGATCGGATCTCTGTCAGATTCCCACAGGTGATAGCGAATACCATCATAACGGATATATCACTGATTAATAGTGCTCCTCAATAGTATTTTGCAGTGTTTAAAGTTGATTTTGTGTCTCAGGGAGGAAGTGGAAGATGTTTTGAGGCTACGAGAAGCTGTCAAACATGAAGCTGGGACGCTTGAACAGCAGCTGTCTGATCTGGTACATCACTATGATGACAGCATTAAAATGGTATTCAATCTACTCATAAACTAAACATTAAATATGGTTCATGGGTCAGAATATAGGGCTTGGTGCAAAAATGCCACAAATTGAATTTTTTTCCCCCCAAATATTTAAATATGGGGCAAAACACTTTCAAGCATGAATCTGAACCCACTTTGTTACCAACCAACATCCTTCAGCGGTGCAATGTCCAGAATATAAAGCAGAACACCTTTGTTTTATCCCTGTATTTTTATGTTTATAGAAGCTGAATCGGCTCATGGACGAACAGTCTCAGCTGTGCACCCATCTGCGAATTACACCCTCTGATATGCCTCATTCAGAACCCACCTCAACCAGGAGCGTGGCCATTCAGTGCTGCCTGCCGCCCATTACGTCCAGTCCACAGCGGTGCGTCCATCATCACTGCACCTGTCATGAGGCATGCCAAGATCCACACCGGTTCCCCAGTAAAACCCAATGGGAGGCCAATTGCAAACCAGACAGGCTAGACTTTGTAGCTTTTATTAAAAGTGTAAGAAACATCTCATACCCTCATCATCAGAATAATTAGATCTGATAATGATAATGTCCTAACGCATTGTTAATTGTGCATTTGTATCTTTCAGTTGAAAAATTCATTACAACATTCAATGAACAATAACTCATTGGAATAAGGTTTGTTTTCTGCTTCAGTCTGAAATCAAAAGTTAATTTTACTTAATGACCCAATAAAATAATTTGTCGATGATTTCGCAATTCTGAATTTTGAGTTTACATCTCGCAATTCAGATCTGTTTGTTTCTGCCACAGAATTAAATAAGGTGATTGCCACTTTTTATCTTTGAACTTTTTTCTCACATTTGCAAGTGTATATCTGACATTTCTGACTTTTCACAATTTTGACTTTTCTCTTTGTGAGAAAGAGAGCATAACTGTGAGATATGCTCTCAGAATTGCAGAATTTATCATGTGGTGGAAACAATTTTTTTAATTTTTTAATTTAGACATTTTATGGGGTCTGAATGACTTGAATGCAACATACAAAACTAATAATTTTGTTCTTTCCTTTTATGTAGTGCCACAGCAGTGATGAAGACCCATTTCGTTGTTTTTTTGGAAGTCACTTATAAAGTGAAGTGTTGACTCTTGAGCGCAGAACTAATAAAGAATTATGTATATACCATTATCATGTGTCCATTTGAGTTTTTATGTGTGCACAGCACAGACATCTCTTAATGTAGAGTGAACCTCCTCCCAGCAGCCTAACACTCTCTCGCTCCCTCTCCCACTCCATCTTTGTGTCTTTGTAATGAAACACTTCATATCATTGTGGTGTTGCACTGACCATATAAGGAAACTGCTGCTCTCCTGATGAAGAAGTGCTGGTCCCGCTGTCTGATTGGACAATGATCTGATGGTTCCTCCACTGTTCCTGAGATACTCTCCAACAGTTATGGCCCAGTCTCAGGAAATGAAACCATTTGCTGCTGAAAATGTCAGTAGGCCTATTTTTTAATAACTTAATTTAAGAACATTGTTGAACCTTAGAAATAAACATTTCCCAACTGGGACAGCTGCGGGGTATATGGAGGACCATGTAATAGTAATAGAGTTACAATGTAGAATAATGGTCTACAAAATAAGTACAGTAACTTATGGCTTTCTCAGTAGCCAATTTACCTCTTGAATTATAGTTATGTACTGATATTTAACTTGTGTTACTAACCAAGATTAGGTTTGACATTCACAGAATTCATAATTGAATAAATATTGTATACATGCAGTTTTGGTGTAATAAATCAGAAGGTATTACAAGTCATAACAGTTTGTCAAAACACGTTTTGTGCAATAACCATTCAATTGTTTGTCACATTAAAAATGTTTTGGGGAATGTTAACGTTAAGTAGTTGAAGGCCAATGCTGCTGTTAAAATGCTTTGTGCCTACAAACTATTCACTGTTTTGTCATGTAACCGAGCTAAAGTATTAAGCTTTACAATATGTGTGAAAATAATTAAATACTAGTAATTACACTGTGAGAAACTTACCTGTTTGGATCGTTTTATCAGAAATACTTCGATGTCACTTCCTCAAATATGTTCTCAGGAATATAAAAAATTATATTTTGTTTCAAATCGTTGTAACGTTACAACCCCCTAAACAAACGTAAATTTGTCAACAACAAAAAAAGAGATCAGTATCGGTGTTAAAAAAAATCAGTAAAAAAATCGCGTATTGTAACTGCCGCGTTCAGAATTTAGGGATCATGTGTAAAGTGCCGCACTGTATCCTTATCCTGACTGACCAGGTTTTACGTTTCCATTTATGTTCTTGGCAGACGCTCCCTTACCAGGCGTCAGGTTGGCATATGGACTGTTTATATAGAGTTGTGTTTAACAAGGTAGTAGACTATGGCTCAGTGAATGAAAAAATAATCAAAACCACTTCACACACTCTCCATACAGGAGGAAACATCATTCACATTAGAGGAGTAGAAAGACATCAAAGCCTGTCAGTAAACAATGTCCACATTGTTTTCCATTATTATTCATTTCCTCTTGTTCACCTCTCCACTGAGCTAGTAATGAGTTGTGGTGAGTGTAGACGCGTAAAATTATCTTAAATATTATTGGGCTATTTATGATGTGGTATATTTTAATTATATATGGATGCACTTAAAATCAAAACCAAATGAAGTAGGAATCACTGCATTGAAGACATTATCTTAAAGGGGTCATATGATGCGATTACAATTTTTCCTTTCTCTTTGGAGTGTTACAAGCTCTTGGTGCATAAAGAAGGTCTGTAAAGTTGCAAATACTAAAGTCTCAAATCCAGACTTTTCCAGAGATTTTCCAGAGAATCTAGATATATTCTTTATAAAAGTTAAGAGTCAGCCACGCCTACCTAAAACGGCTCGTTCTAACACGCCCCCACATGTCTACGTCACTATGTGGGAAGATTTGCATAACGCCGCCCAAATGTTCACGCAAAGAAAGAAGGCGTAACTTTTATTCTCGCTGTAGTATTGTTGCCGCCGCCATGTCGTGAAGGCGCTGTGTGTTTCGTTGTGAAAGCGAAACTACTTTGTTTGGTCTTCCAAAAGAGGACGATATCCGCTTCGTCATGCCTGGAGCTGATCCGTGCTGGTCGCTGAGGAAATACATCAACTTCGCGCTGTGGATCGCCGGATCGGCTTTCACCGTGGACGAAGCGGTGTCCAGCCCGGGGTCGTCACATGTGGTTGCCGCAAGCCTCCTTCGTCGAATCCGCCGGCCGCGCCGTTCTCAAGCCCGCTGCCTCTGATCACTGTAGGCCTCCACCGCTCACTCTAGGCCGCCGTGTGTGACGCTGTGTTTCGTTGTGAAAGCGAAACTACTTTGTTTGGCCTTCCAAAAATGGACACGACTAGAAATTAGTGAAGCGAGTTTTTTGGACAGTGTAGAGTAGAGCTTGTTGTTTGTCATTTCTCCGATCACAAATGCAGACATGGTTTTATGTTTACGCGGCGTGATGCAACGCAATGCGTAAAAAGACAGTACAAGTCATTATAATCCATAATTATGTCCCCACTGGAAGCAACGACTGCCTTGTTTATAATGGGTTTTCATGTTTTTGTCTCGTCGCTCCGGCCGGACAGGGCATCACAGTATGGCAAGGGGCGTAACATTTCCATCACACGCTTGAGGTATTTGGCCAATCATAACGCACTGGATATCTGGTCAATCACAGCACACCTCGCTTTTCAGAATTCAGAAAGGCGGGGCATAGAGGAGAAACAATAATGTACAGTATGTGGAAAATAATGTGTTTTTTGAACCTTAAACCGCATAAACACATTTCATTACACCAAATACACAAAATAATGTTTTTTTTAGCAACATCATATGACCCCTTTAACACACTCCGTTTTACCAAACCTGACCTTCATCGTGTTTGAATCACTGCTTAAAGAGTTGAAGTTGTTTCATTAACCTCGATGACGTGTGTTCATGGAAGCTGGGACGATTGACACATGACAAGGGCCTCCGTCACCAAGACAACAGGCTCTAATGGAGACCGGATTAGAAGAAGCCCCTCCTCCTGAAGTACATAACCCCTGTCTTTGATCCGGCCTGCACTCGCTCTCCGTCTCTCTGCTGCACTGAGGTAAGGCCTTTCTCTCTTTCTTATAATTCACTTATTTAGTTATTTTCTAGATCGAAAGATAAATACCAAAATATTTCAGCAGATGTTAATTGATTAATAAATAATATTTAAATAGTAAAATGTTTACAGTATATATTCAGTTTTTTTTTTGGAGTATTTAAACATAGGTAATTTTTTTACCATTTATTATATATATATATGGGCTATTTTATGATGCCGTATGTTTTAATTGTAGATGGTCACATCAAATCTGAAGCAAATGTTATTTGTTACTTATTGAAATATGATTTATATATTTTCGTATATATATTTCAGATACATTTCAGGTAAATGTTAATTGACTAATACAATAAAATTTAATAAGTGTAATTATATTTTAACGAAATGTTACATACAGTATATATTTAGTGTGGTCAGAATTGTATTCTTATTAAACATGCTTATACATATATATATATATATATATATATATATGTGAATGTAATTTTTTGTAATATTAATATAAGTATTTGGTTTGTATGTGAATAAATTAAATATTAAAATTCATCAGAGCACAAAAGCCTCAAAATGTTATTTTTGATTGCTGACTGAGCCTCAAATGTAAATTTTGCTCATTTTTATTTGCTTTCCAGGAAAAAGTACCTATTCTCTTTTTGATAATGAATATTAACATGGATTAAACAAGTTTTTTTGTAAATTTAATGTGATGCATTTAAGTATTATGCTTTGACATTGCATAATTAACCATAATAATATTAAATTCAGAGCCCATAGTGAGAAGCTGTTTTGTTTAATTAGTTTGCCATTCACACGTTCAGTAAATATGCTTTCCAGTAAATATGACAGAGCCTTTGTCATGTATATGTGTGTGTGCTGTTATCTGATACCTGAACAGACTGCTGTGGGGAGCATGTCCACTGACTGTGTGAGGTCACTCTCAGACAAAGCCATGCACGAACATCTCTGTGAGTACCGCAGCCTGCTTTTCACTGCATTTCTGCATGGATATCTGCATGTACAATGTTTTTTAAGGAAAAGAGCTATATAATGACAATAAAAGGGTCAAAATTTGGGTGAACAGCATCCAGCGGGAATAACAAAGGCGACAGTCTGACTGATACACACAGACCAGCTTTGTGAACCGGTCTCTGAAATGTTCTCCTGCAGATGGGAACGCTGAAATGGACAATCAGAAGCACAACTCCAAGGAACATCAGCAGGACAAACCGGGACAGAAGAAACCCCGCAGGAAAGACACTCCCGTACTCAGCAGCCCTCCACTCATACCAGGCAAGACTTTGATTCCTGTCATCCTTTCACTCAATCACCCTCACGTCCTCTCCATCCATCTCTTTGTCTCAGTTCTCTGCGCTTTTCTTTCGCAGGCGTGAGATTGATGAAGACAGAGGCTCGAATGATTCATCAGGAGGATGAGGAGAAGGAGATGAAGAAGTAGATGTCTTTAAATACATTCAGTTTTCATTCTTGTTAGTGTTATTTTTGATTGTCGTCTGAGCCTTCATTAAACGTAGGTTTTGCAGATATTTTTTGCGTTGTCATTTCGTCATTTGAGTGTAATGCTGTAGAAACTCAACTTGCAATGATGCAAAGAACATCTTTTTAAATTCAACATGAACATCGTAGCATAAAGACTGGAAAAGTGGGAATTTGGAGCATGCATCCATTTGAACCAAACACATGTGTTTTATTTTTATGTCATATGGACAACAGCGACTATATTTATCTATATCAACATCAATATCTGCAGAACTACTGAACATACTCAACATAGTATGTACAGGTGTTTCAGTGTGTGATTACAGATGAACTGCAGGTTACATTAACTGGGTACATCTCAAGACCCCAAAATCAAAAAAAGAAACATTACATGATAATTAAAATAAAGTGAAAACATATCAGATTATTCTTTTTAAAGCATTCAAACTTCACGGTAACATTTATTGTGGTGCCTTAATGTTGACTTGTTTTTGTTTTTAAAATTTGTATTACACTATTTTTTGTATGGGTACAATTAAAAGCATTGTTTAAGGCAATGTGCATCACAACTGAAAATAAGAATGAAAATAAATAAAATAAAATAAAATTAAGCACAAGCAACCTTTCCTCCCCAATTCTTATGGTTGTTTAAAAAAAATACATATACACATACACATATGTTGCACAATTAATAAGATCTTGCTGCATAATTCTCATTATGATAATTAAAATAAAGTGAAAACATATCAGATTATTCTTTTTAAAGCATTCAAACTTCACGGTAACATTTATTGTGGTGCCTTAATGTTGACTTGTTTTTGTTTTTAAAATTTGTATTACACTATTTTTTGTATGGGTACAATTAAAAGCATTGTTTAAGGCAATGTGCATCACAACTGAAAATAAGAATGAAAATAAATAAAATAAAATAAAATTAAGCACAAGCAACCTTTCCTCCCCAATTCTTATGGTTGTTTAAAAAAAATTATATATATATATATATATATAGTTAAAATGTAAATTAAAATATATATATATTTTTTTTACTGTTTTTAATTAATTATTTGATCTATTTATTTATCTTCTGTATACACTACAGTAATAAGAATCTTCAGCAAAACTGCTTAATTGTCTGTAACTGTCTTCATGCAGGATATAATTTATTAGTTTTTTTTTCTTTTGATTTTGGGTTGAAATAGCATCACTCAACTCCATCATCAGTGCAGAACAGAAAGAAGTGTGTGTGCTATAGATGGAGTCACCTCCCCTGTCTCAGAGAGATGCTCTGTAGGTGTCTGGCCCTGCTACGGGGGTCTGTGGGCTTGCTGTCCTCTTTCTGCGGGCGGGAGGGCAAGTAGGAGTTGACACAGTAACTGGGTTTCTTACTGTATCTGACCAGGTGGTATTTGCGGCGAGTGGGAGCTGCAAAAAACAGAACAGATTCTTAACAACCATTCTGTTAATACAGTTTCTGTAAATTTTTAAATCATATATATCAAAATGAAGACTCAAACCCGTCATCTGAGCCCTTTGAGTAAAGATTTATTGTCACAAAAGTGCAATTAAGGAGCATCGAAACAAGCATGATCACATGACCACACCTGCCTTATGATTGATTTTTTTTCTTCTTTTTAAAATAAAAAATAGTGAATGCATCAACAGACATTAATGTAGAAAAAGTTAAAACAATCTCATGACAAATTATACTTCGGGACGTAATAAAAAGGTAAACAAAACAATGTGTGGATCTCAAAATGTGTTTGACTGCAGTGATGCAGTACACTAGATAGCCAACAGATGGGTGTACAGCACTATATGATTTACGCTGCTAGTGCACTGCTGATCAGAGCATCCTTTCATTTTACTATGAGTGCTGAAGAAGATACACAGTACATGAGGATTTCAAACCAAAAAAAAAAAATGAAAATAGCTTACTTTTGACATCGAGGTTTCCTGGCAAACACGTATATGCACTCAACTGAGCTGAACACATGACAGTTACTACAAAGCAGAACTAAACACACTTATTAAGGCAGAATCTCACTGTGCCATATTTACTCATCAACTTCAATATTCTATAAATGTACAGCATTTCACCTAAATAATCTCACATTCTGAGCCTAAATGTGCTTGAAAAGGACTACTGAAATTTCAAGATTTGAGAGGAAAGAAATTTCTAAAAACACAGTTATATTCAAAGAGCTAGTGTGTGTAATTTAGTGTAACTTAGTATGTACTCATTTCATCCAGCAAGGACGTTTCTTAATCAGTATTTGTGTTGTTTTTAATTTCAAAAATACCCAAACATTCTTAAAAAAAGATTTTTCTTCTTTTAATCAATTATATATATATATGTTTAAGAATTATTAGATTTTTTGCTAAAAAATACTGATTAAGGAAATTATATCTGATATATGAACTCTGTGCTTGTGTAATAGGAGGGGAGGGGCACTGACCAAAATAAAAAACATAAAATGTTATCATTATTACATCTATAATATTTTATAATAGCACAGTATCAACCAATCAAATGAGTTTTGCAAAATTCAGATTCGCAATCAAAATGATGAAATCACTTCAATATCTCTTAGATATGAAGAAAACGCTGACATAAGCACAGAAAAAAAGAGATGTCCTCTTCTGACTCAGTTCGGAGTCATCACAACTAAACAGGAAGATGAACACAAATATTCTATGAATGTCAACAGAGAATGATTCACAAGGATTTGTAATTAATAATAGATTTAAGGCAACAATGCTTCCTTCTTTTTTTTAATCTTTCTTGCTTTCTAACCAGTGTCTCATAAGAAGTATGCATGAATGATGGCTTGCAATGACCTCCAGATAAACGACATACAGACATTATAATCATCTTTGGTTGAGGCAGCAGAGACATTTACACTGGATTTTGCTGCCTACTTATAACAACCTATTTACAAGGAGGCCTTTTTCCCCCTTATTTACTTTTTTTTCTGCATTTTACAATTTATGTATGAAACTGATTTGCATGTACAGGTGCATTATACTTTGAGAAGATGAGCGGCACAGACAGGGACATACATACCTCGCTAGGACAGTGAACTAAAGTGTAATATCAGCACGCAGCACCTGTCAGAAGATGCTCGTGCTAAAACATACTTTCTAAACGTTCTATTTCTTCTTTTACCAGATTGAAAAATAAAAATAAGATTCCTTTAAATCTCTGTCATAATTCTCTCAGAGATTGGATTAAGCATGAATAGTACACCTTCCTACAATTAATCTATATTGTTCATTGTTCATACCAAATTTCCCTATAAACACTTCATAAATTATATAATCTTTTATATACATTAAATACAAAAATAGAAGAACTCAAACTATAACCTAATGTCAAAATAATTACATTTACTACACTTTAAGGGTTTGAAGAGCTTACAATGTTTGCAGAGGTTTAATTGGCCCATTGGATTTGGCTCATAACAACACAGAAATCAGGCATAATTTGTTATTTAAAGGGACAACTGTACCTTCATTAATTTTAAACAAATAGTTCACATAAATTTTTTTAAATTTGCTCACCCTCAGGCCATCTAAGATGGGTTTTTGTCATCTTAACAGATTTGGAGAAATTTAGCATTACATCACTCGTTCACCAATGGATCCTCTGTAGTGAATGGGTGCCGTCAGAATGAGTATTAAATTACAGTTAAAATGCCTTGATGGATTTGATTCTTACAAACATTCGCTTCACAAGATCTTAACTGATGGACTGGAGTCATGTGGATTACTTGTGGATTATTGTGATGTTTTTATCAGCTGTTGGGACTCTCATTCTGACGGCACCCATTCACTGCAGAGCATCCATTGGTGAGCAAGTGACGTAATGCTAAATTTCTCCAAATCTGTTCTGATGAATAAAAAACTCATCTACATCTTAATTGGCCTGAGTGACTTTTCATTTCTGGATGAATTATTCCTAATATGTATAGTGGGGTTCAAAAATCTGAGGCTAATTTAGTATTTTTCCAATTTAATGAAAGAAAATGTATTAATTAAAAATTACAATATACTAAATGTATTAACAATTTGAGTGATGAGTTGAAAAGTGTACATTAGTAATTACTAATTAAATATTTATTCCTCATTTTACATCATAACACTTGTATTTTGATATATTAATTTTTTTTCTCCCCCCCACGAAAACCCCAAATTTTCATTGTGGTCTCAGACTTTTGGACCCCATTGTATAAGCATTAATTTTCTTTGTAATTTCACCAGCTGACGTATATATATATACAGTATATATATTGTGCAAATCACATATGACAAAATCATTAGAATAGTTTGTCAAAGTTACGCCAAATTGTGACAGAACTGAACTATTTGTGAACAAAAATCTTCTATGATCAAAGTGACATTGGCAAGGATACTGGCAAAGGATTATGGGCCGTTAAACTAACGATCAAACCCTCAATCACATACACGGTTCGACATCAAGAAGCTCCTGAAAGCATATGTACAGAAGACACACGATGGAAACTGTACAGTATCAGTATCAACACAGAACAAAAAAAACAGGACGACAGCAACATCAAATGTACGACAAACACAAATAAAAATAAGAGGTAAACAAACAGCAGTTCTGCAGACATTCTTTGGACGTGGTAACGACGGCCTGGTGAAGGTGATCTGGTTGCATGAGTGCTCTGAGGGACTGAAGTTCTTTGAAGCTCTCCTCTCGCTGTCTGTGCAGGTTTAGTGCTTGAGCGGTCGGCAGATGTTGCTTTGTCCCCGAGGGAAGAACATCAAGCTGGGGTTGGTCTCCATCGACTCGACTCGGGACACATTTCATCTTCATGCATGTGGCTTTGATGACAACAGTTTCCAAAAGCCACCATGCAAGACTTTTTTTAACGTCCGTTTTGCACCAAAGTCTCAGTTCTCTAATGGTTTTGTGTATCTCTGAACCAAAACCTG